GGCTAAATATTCCTCACATTGCAGCAGAGTAAAAGTAAGTAAAAAACATAAGGTTTTGGAGTGGCCTATCATCTGGGCTTAAATGTGACTGGATTACAGAGATAATCGTGAAATTCTGGAAGAAGCTGCTGCTTTTTCTCTGTGTGTGGAAAACTCCTTTAGAAATCCTGTTGTAAGGCTGGTGTTAAATTAAAGTACAATTGCTGTTTGTGTTAATAGTAAACAATGACAAAAATTTTAAGTAGCTTTGACATCATATGCAAAGCACACAGAGTAGCAAAGTGTGATGGTGAGTTACTTAAAAAAGTTTCTGTTAAAAACCATGGCAAAGGTTTAAAGTGAGTTTTTAAAGAAGCAAGGTATTATTTTTATATCTTTTCATTTTTTACATGCTACAGTTTTTTGTTTTTTTTCTGTAGTCTACAGAGGATTTTGTGGTATTTACTGTGAAAGGTTAAATCAGGTGATGTGAGAATTTAAGGGAAGCAAATACAACTGTTTTTTGTTTTTTTGCTTTTTTTCCAGACGTCTTCCCATAATTGTCTCTCATTTCTGCTGAAACAGTTGAAAGTAACTGTAAATGTTTTTTTCTGCTCAGCTTGTGACGCATGCTGTGCACAGAGTTCAGGAAATTTGTGTCACAAGGACAAAAAGGATTTACAAAATTGCACAAGTTCATGGTAATGAAATAGAAGTAAATCTACTTAGTACGTGTATGGAAGTATTTTACAGCATTTCTGCACGACTTTCTACACCACTCACTACATATTTTTTTTAACTACTATATTTTACAAAGCAGTGCAGTTAAAACGTTTGAAAGATATTAATTCCACAGCAGTGTGTCCATAGCAGAGTGGTTTCTTAAATATGGGCCATTTGCTGAATTTCATCCTTTATTTCTTTAGTTAAAACATTAAAACAGACCTACTATACTCATTTCAACCTCCATGTTTCGATTCTTGGAGTCTCCTACAGTAGTTTTGCATGATGCCCACTTCAAAAATATTCCTTAATTTTTAGCTTTTAATGATCTATTTTAGCCAATTTTCTTCTGATTGGCAGGCTGGTAGGGCTTTTCTTCACAGCCACAGCTGTGTGCCTGACCATGTTAGGAAGATCCCTTTTCTTTGACGTCATACAAAGAGAACTGAGTGTTTACAGCAGACTTTTGGATCACAGAGATTATTAATCTTACATTTTGTGTTGTCTTAGGTTAGAATAAGGGGTACAGTAATTTGCAGTTATTTTCATTTCAATACATTTTGAAAGCACAGAAATAAGTGGGTCTTCTCTGTAACAATAATGCAGCTTAAAAAACTTTCAGATGTTTGTTTGTTTTCTAAACACTTAAATTAAAATATATTAAATACATGTCTGTTGTTCCTACTGAGTCACACCTAATGAAACATGAATGTACAGTCATGTTTGCTGCTTTGCGTCTGTATTATCTAAATTTTAGCAGTTAACAAGCCCAACATGACAAAATGTGCCACATCCAGTTTAACCCCTACTAACATTTACTGTCAATGGTGATGACCAACGTGCAGCTAAAGGACAGTGGACAATACCAGTGTGCGATTCGGAGGAACAGGAAAAAGGAAGTCATCACAAGACTGGAGCTGTTTGTAGGTATGTTAGCTTAAGGTTTAGAGCTGCATTCATGCTCCCAAAAGTCATTTCCTCCACATTTTGATGTGGTTTCTCTGAGGAGTGTGTGTCTGTAACCTTTGTGCTCAAATTGAATAGTTTAGAATTAAAGAAGTAAAGAGAGAGTATGAACCATCATCAGTGGTCCTCAAACCGCACAACCAGTAAGAATGTAACAAAAAATCAGAACAGAAAAACAAAGCAACAGATTTCTGTTCTTTGTTATACTTGAAGCCAGCTGTCTGTAGACAAATGCTGAACTGTTTCTTTGTGGACATTTTCACCCACATCATTCGTAAAGCTTGTGTAATGTAATGTTTTGTATAAACATTTGACCTGACATGTTGGTTGAAAAGTTCAAAGACCACAACGTGAA